TGCGATAAAATTCAAATAAACCAACTAAAAAAGCCATGATGTAGAAACCACTAGAGGCAAGACGAAGAAGAAGACAACTACAAACAGGGATTGACTCCCTAGACAAAAATCTACAAGGGGTAGGATTGTCAAAATATAGAGTTATAAGGGAAAGATCCCGATCGACATTTGAAGAACTGGCTCAGGATAGAGATCGTTGGAGAGATGTCGTGATAAAATCAGATGCTGCACACAGCTGATGGATGATGATGGTGGTGATGATGATACAGTTACTCAAGTTTGATGTCAGTTAAAATATGACGTTGTTCTTTGTTAATGGCTATTACTCAATCATTTTTTTCGATATTCTTTCACACAACATCTTAATGTTTATAAACAACTTTTTCTTTTAGCTTTTTAAACTGTCTAATGTCAAAACGAATTACAATTCAACGCCATATATTTCAAAGATCATTTTTTCTTATGAAAGGATCACTTCAATAACCTGAGTTGCATTAAACCAATGTTACTAATAAATTAACAGTTAAATAAAAAAAAGAAATAGAAATTTAATGAAACCTACTTGAATCCAGTAAAAATGGACCAACAGTTATAAAGTCTGGTAATTCAAAAGTTTCTTCTTCAAGTTTATCAAATTTCATTAATTCGGCTGTGAATTCAGATATTTGCGGATCAGTTTTCATGAAATCCTGATTTTTAAAATTATCAAAGAAGGCGATATGTTATTACTTTATTAGATTCAATAATTGCAAAAATAACTTTAAAATGATAATTTTAATTATTTTAGCTTCAATTAGAAAATTAATTAACTCATTTTTATCATCATCAATATCATTGAACAAAATTTTGCTATAATCTCAAAATACATTCCTATGTCTATCAAACTAAAATAAAATAACCACTAATTAATCGCTGTTTTAAAAAATTCATGGAGGTATAAAAAATGATAGAAACCTATGATAACGTCAAGCAAAAAATTTAAATAAATTTGTAAAATATTTGTTTAAATAGAACAAACTAAAACCTCTAGAAAACTTTCTTTGGAACTATCCCACAAAAAACTGAATTCATTAAATCGAACAAGTTTCAAATATATTTGACTTGGCAAAGTGGACAACGAATTATTTAAAATGCTCAGCAGACTTTGAATTTCTTTGTTATCGCTAACCATGTTATAAAAAGTTTCTACAATTAATAAAAAATTAAAAATTATTAAAATGATAAAAATCAAGTGATATATATTTAATTTATTTTCAAACTTAAATATACTGACATGTAAAACGTGTATGTATTTTGAATGCACGTGTATTTATAGGTTTTAATTTACAAATGTGGTAGTTACAAAGATTTGAATAAAAAGGGGAAAAATTACTTGTAAAACTTTCAAAAATTACGCTACTAATAAAATTAAAACCGGATAATTTTGATTTTACAAAATTTGTTTAAATAGTACTATATATATTTTTGTTGCGTATCGTGTGTTCAATGTTCTATCGTTTGTATAATTAATCTTTTATTTTAAAACAAAAATTTTTGATACATAATTTGAGTTAACATTTTTGTACACATATGTTTTAGAATGTTTTTTCATGTATTATAAATTTTTTTGGCAAATATATATTTGTTTAAAAAATTCAATAACAGGCTCTTTAATGATTACTAAATACAGAATTAGCTTAACAATCAAGCTTTGTTAGACTCTCTGACATATCTGACACAATATTTTGTATCAGAAATGTCAGAAAATAAAGTGACTTTTTATTTTGTTAATATGTTAATAATAATATTGTCATTTTATATAGCGCCATGGCAAGCGACTGAGACTCATCATTGTTATTACAACAAACAAACGGTGCGTGAATCAACACGTCCCACACTTTTTCATGTTATAGGCGGAATCTTTTTGCATTCGAACCCGGACACTGCATCAACAATGCCAGGCACCTTAACCATTATACCATCGCGCCGCCCGACTTGACAAAAGCTTAAAGATTTAAACAATTATATTCCTAAGTCGATACGTGCTTTCTGTTGAAAATATATTTAAGTTGAAATGCTAACTTTGAAAATTTACAACAACAAATTTTTATATACAAACATTTTTTAGAAGTTTTAACATTTCTATATATGTGTGTTTTGGAATGTATTCAAATATTGTTACAAAATTATTTTTTAAATCAGTACGAGGCAGTTTTATTATTATTAAATATTAACAGAATTAAAATTTCTAAGTTGAAATAATAATTTTTAGAATCAAAGACTAATTTTTAACGAAAAATTCAAATTAAATCATGGTCGGCTAATTAGTCTATAGTCTAGACATTTATAACAATTTGAAACGTGTGGCCAAACCAACAAAACCATTCAAAAAACTTTAAAAAAACGTTTAAATAAGAAGAAATTGTGAAAAAGACATGTGATGGAGAGAATGAGGAACAAGTTTAAATAAAAGACAAAGTCTGACCATAAGGTTAAGGTATGGGCCTGCCTAGTAAATTTGACGGTCAATGTTTGTTAGACATTTTCATAATTCATTTTCACTGAAAACCTTTAATATTTCATGCTTTTAGAATCTCTATCTTTCTTTATTAAAACAAATTTAATAACTGTTTCAACGACCTGTTGCAAAAATGGGAATCCAGCACCATACATCCAATTCCTAAAACAAAACAGCCACCATCACCAATAGATTATCGCCTAATATCTATCACCCCCATACTTTTACGTATTCTAAAAAAATTAATTTCTAAGTCATTTATCTATCCATGTTTTAATCATCCGTCTATCAAATCACTATTACAAGATCAGTTCCCATTTCGCTCTACATGTTCATCCACATCTGCCATCATCTCTCTTACCTCTATAATAACATTTCTTCTTAAAAATAATAATCATGTTCATGCTTTTGCTCTTCATGTTCATGATTTTTCTAAAGCTCTTGACCTTTTAATCACTTTTCTCTTTCAAATAATTTAGCCTTTCCTTCTACCTGACAATATTTACAATATTACAACATTATATTTCTTTCTAATGGAGTCATTCAACTTCTTTTTAGCTCTACCTTTTCATCAACTTTACTTATTAATTCTAGTGTAGTTCAAGGTTCTGTCCTTGGACCATCAACCTTCTTCATCAATGCTTCTACGCTCAAAACTCTACATAGCTCTAAGCAAATCATCAATTACGTTGACGACACCTATCTTGTTATTCCATCATCTAACACAAACACCATCCAGCCAAATTCGACTCATTAACTACATGGTCGAAGCAATGCAATCTGTCATATAACCTCAATAAATCGTTCGAACTCATCATTCACAATAGTCGTAAGAATATAAGCATTATATCCTGAGCACCCGTCAATCACCCGCACAAATCAATTCAAAATACTAGGCATAGCATTTACCTCCACTCCTAATATAGCACCTCATATTAATTACATCATCACAAAAGGTTTTCAAACATTTCACGCACTCAAAACACTTTGCTCACATACCATCACTTTATTATATGTTCGACACTTTTCATGCTTAAACATTTTTTTCTCCGTTATCTATTTTTCGTTATCATTTTATTTTATACTATTGCGCTGCATGGTGTAACAGTTTCTGCGTTCGTCAAATTCTGATTTTTTTAAAAAATAAAAAAGAGTTGTCTTAAGTAATTTTTGAATGCACTTATTTAATATTTATTAAATAATCAATAAAATCAAACCGGGCTCATCCAACTGATCATCAACGTTTGTTTTAATGTTACTAAAATCATTTAGTGTTGAGTGCTTCATAGAGTTTTTACAAACATCTTCTTTAAAAGCCAAGCCAGGCCTAATTCTTGCTTTTAATCTATTTAATTAAAAAAACTGAAATGACTATATAAACGATCAAAAACTATTAAATTTACAAGTAGAATAAGGTAAATACTGAAACTAAAAGTGTTTTTAGCGTATACGCCAAAAACGCTTTTTTATTAATTCAAGCTTAAAATTTCAAACACAAAAACTTGTTATAATTCAAAAAGTCAAAATTACAACGTAAATACACTAAATTTCAACTTAAACATTCAAAAATTTATTCTTTACTCTTTATTCAAATTTAAAATTTTTTATATTTTTTAATTTTAGATTTATAAAAACCACCATGTTGTTTAGAGAAGCACGGTTTGTTTTTGGAGGGAAATGTTATATAAAATTATTTCTGAAGCTACAGTAACACCCCAAGCTTTAACCTGTTTTGCTGATGTCAAACACAATTCTGCTTTGTGACATCTGATAAAATATTAAATCACTGTTCAAAACAGCTGTTTCGTTTTTGGGAGTGCCATTTGGAATCAAATTTAGTCTTTCGACGACCACCATCAAGGTTTTTTTTATCATGCAGTTTGATAAGCTGTGTTTTTTGCAATTAATCTACATATAAAATTTGACTGTACCGAGGTTAGATGGTATTTGTTAGCCCTAAACAGAACCGTGTTAAAAAAATCCATTTTGTGCGAATAGAACTATTCAACAGAGTTTTTTGGGGAGACTTCTGGACTCTTGTT